TTTTATGCTTGCAACACTGTCCCCACAGCTAATAACTGATAGACACTCTGCATCTGTGTACACTGAATGTCCTGCTAACCACCACAGCTACCTAAGCCCACCCTGGCTGTCTCTGTGTGCCATTGCCAAGTCAGTGGTGTACCGCCCCTGTTGCTTGAGCCACACCTCTGGCTTTTTAGCTTTTCAGTTTCTTCTTGACAGCATCATTTCTCAGTGCTGTCCCCCCGAGGCCAGGCTACTGTGCTGCCTGCTGATCACTGCTGCACCATTTGGAACTCCTGAGACTCCGTTTCCTGTCTAAAACAAACAAACCTGTCCAAACAAACCAGCAAAGTTTACTGGGAATGGGCTTGAGACAAAAAGCAATGAGCCCTCAGTGGCTCCACTAAACTACGAGGTTTAGACAGAAGGTGGTGTTGTGTAGACAGCTTATGTCTGGTGATTTTTGTTTCTGGTAAGAGGCTGCTGTTATCTGTTCAAGACAGCATGAACAGATTCAGACAAACATACAGCTCTAAAAGTGACCCATTTTATTTCTATGCACTTTGGTTCAGGTCTATTTTTCAAATTACTGGAGGAGATAAATCGTGTATGATGCTTTCTAATGGCCCTCTACAAGTGCACATATAAAAACAGAAACTGTTATTTAAGTCACTGAAGGGAAAAAACGATTCATTTGGGGCTGCTTCACAATGAAAATTAAGTTTTCACCTGTGACTGACTTCAGGGGTCTGGCAAGACTTTCCTGTCCCCGGCTATGAATTGCAGATCTTCTCGGGTGATCCTTTGATGTTCTCAAACCAACTGGGCAATATATTCCCTCCATTGGGTCCTGGGCCTGCTCTGAGGACTCCATCCCATGGGACATATTTAGAAGAACTCCAACCAACATGCTTGCCAGACACTTAATCTACCTCAACTGGCACCCCACAACTTGAAGTAGCAGCTAAGCTCTTCATCGTAAAGAAAATGCACAGGAACGAATGCCATCTCTTGTACCTGTGACCTTAGTCTTTAGGTCACTGCCTAGAACTGGTGACAGTACGTACAGATAGAGCCTCATTCCTCGTATGATACTCTGTTTTCTTTTGTCCTTTAGCTTTTGCCTTCAGCTCTGGTTTACACTGTTCAGAAAGGGATGGAATGAATTCCTCCCAGATTCACATTCACAGTGAAGGGTACGTTTAGTGCTTGTGAAATTGTTTTGGAAGATGGAAAAGCAGTAAGATCCAGGAGCCAGAGAGGTGTTTTTTTTTAAAAAAAAGCAGAGTACTTAAGAGCTTTAGCTTGCCAAGCACATGGGACTTGAGGGTGTAACCACCAGGCCAAAGTTAGGAGCGAGGAAGGCGTCCAGTTCTCTGCTCCTCCATTGCTCCATCCGTTCAGTTTTCTATTTATCTGTCTATTTGTCTGACCAGCCATTCATCTTTCCAGTCATCTCTTCTTGGCTGAGGAACTTGTCTGAATTTGTGTAACTTGAAGCTACAGTCAGTTGCGTGGGTTGTTAACAGTTGACTTTAGACAAGCTGTTTTCTACATTTCTCACAAGTTAGACAAGCAGTGCTCCAGCAATGCTTTTGGTTTGTTTGTAGAACAACCTCTGTTTATCTGGGAGATGATTTTGATCACTACTGTTTTCTTTCCCCTTTGTAGATTAGGGAAGAATAGTGTTGTGACCTGAGCTTGTAGTGTTTTAGTGTTTTGCGACTGCTGTTTACACTGATGTGAAAACACAAGAACTCTTTAGGGGACAGAAATGGAGATAGCGCAGCTGAGGACAAATCCAGCCCAAACTCTTTGGGATGTGTTTGTATCCATATGTAGTGCCACTCTCAACAGTGGTGTGTGTGTGTGTGTGTGTGTATATATATTGGTGTGTGTGTGTGCGCTAAAGGGGCCCGTCCCTGGGGTCCTGTTGTTTTTTCAGTGCTGGGCTCAGGTTGTTCTAAAGCCTTATGAGAGTGGAGATGGAGATGGGGAATGCAGCTGGGGTGTTCACACCAACATAACCCCCGCCCCCCCAAACCCCAGTGAGACAGGGATGTGTGCGTGCGTCTGTGCACTTTGACATACACTATTCAACCATGATGCCTGTGGCGAAATCATTTGCTTAATGCCTAATGTGTTTATCAATATTTAACCCATTTTGGTTCAGTGGCAGTGATCTCCCTACAGAGTTACTGTTAATGGCTTTGTTTTTTAAAGGATAAAAGCTATGTGTACGTTAATTCCTGTGACTCCAACACTGTGAATGTGTTTGGGTTAGTGATGTGTGGGGAAAGTAAAGAGAATTTGAAGGTTCATTGTGTCACGTCCAGTGAGACAACCAATGTAGCGGCCCAATTTGATCTCCAAAGGATGCCTAAATTTAGCCTTTTTTCTAGTCCCAAAACAACTGTTTACACTGTCTAGCACTGTTTAAACAGAGCGGTCACTTAGCACAAAAGCATACATTTGTCAGTGAGGATAGCTGGAGAAAACCTCAGGCCACGAGGTGGATAAACAGGTGGATAAACCTTATTACTATAAGATTAAGAATGTGTAGTGATTTGATATTTATAATCTGACCATTTAATCCTTAGAAGTCTAGAATGTTGTCGTTTACCCAAAGTATTTAAATGTAATTACACAATTATTTAATCAGATACATAGTACAGTATTACATTTACATTGTTTCCATTCTGCATCAACAGATAGCAGAGTCTGATCTTTTCTGATCTTTTTATTTCAAGGTCAAGCAATGACAAGCATGGGTAAATTTTTTTTTCTTTCTATAGAACAAGATTACACACTTCAGTAATGTTTCGGCAGATTCAAATCATAATAGTATCTCATCTTCTACTTACAAACACAAATGTGGTGTGATGTGCACTTTTGACAGAATTTCTCCACTTGTTTTAAAGAGCTAGAGTGAGAAATAAAATAATGTTTAATTGACACCATGTTTTCGTTAGTGTTAATGGGAATGTGGTTGAATATCACAGATTTCTCAGCAGAATGCCTCCAGACTTGTGTAAGCCAGATGTGTTTTTTTTGGAAAAAAGAGATTTGGAAGTCATATGTGAACGTAATTGTGACGGAAACCATTAATTGAGCAGGCTTCATAAAAAAAGTGTTTTTACGTGAGCTTATTTTCTGTTTCCCACTCTCTTTGCTAGTGATTCATGGATGTGAGTAGGCTTTACGAGAACTGCCTGCTTGTTTTGCATCAGGTCACGTTTACGAGGCTTCTCTTGGTAGACTACTAATGGTGTTAATAAGTGGCTGATTGTCCCTCAGCTGGCCGATCTTGACATGCGTTTTCCCGCTTGCTGTCTGGCTTCATCAGTTGGACTTTAACTGTGTCCTGAGGCCTTATGCGGTCCTACACTGCTGTAAACAGACTCACTAGAAGAACGGAAAATTATGCTGAGTCATGTAAGGTGAATTAGCCTCCAGAGTTTCACTGCTGTTTGTTTTGGTCTTTGGTTTTGTGAATAACAGAGGGCTGAGCAGATTTATCTCGCCTTGGATTGGAAAGTCAAACTTCAGCCGTCCGGAGAGCTGATGAGATGTGATGTTGCCTTTTGCTTCCGTGGCACATCCTGTGCTTCATGCTCACCGGTGGCTCATGGAGGATTTGTCACAGGTCACTAGCGGGTGTATATTAGCTTGTGTTTTGTTTTGCTTTTTTTTTTCTTTTAAAAGCAAGCCACACTGTCTGTGTATAGAAAAAGACATCTGGTGAGATGAGCCAGTTGTACAACACCATTTAGAAAACTGTCACCTACAAGCCTTTTTTGTACCCTTAAAAAGGGTTCTTGAGATGAGATGTATGAATTTGCAGTTTAAAGAACAGTCACATATAGGTTCTAGGAATAACCCTTAAATTGGTGTAGAACCCTTATTGTTCATTATTTGAAGATCCTTTTAAAGCTAAAAGGTTCTTCACCTTATCAAATATTTTTCAGACATCGTTCAGTAGGTAGCCAAAAATGATTCACCTGTGAAATCACACAAAGAACCTTTTGTGTGAGCACCTTTTTTTGATAAACAATTGAGAAACAACAGAAACACAATAATGAGCTATTGATAGATATTTAAAAAGTGATTTTTTTTTAATGCCTTGAATCAGAACTCTGAATTGATGCCCTTCAGGTGTGTGTGTGTGTGTGTGTGTGTGTGTGTGTGTTTGTGTGTGTGTGGGCCACGTGATACAGGTGGATAAACCTTATTACTGTAATATTGTGATTGTTAGTGATAGATGTGTGTAGGCTCATGAATGCTTGACTGATGTTTGGTAATGGACAGTAACAGAAATATCTAAGTCATTACTGTGGAGTGAAAGAGCAGTACTGCCTCAGACACTTGTGTGTGTGTGTGTGTTTGTGTTCAGAGATGATCATCATCAAATGCAGTTGAAGCTACACTATGTAAGTTTTGGGGATTTGCAGATCTTTCTGGTGGAAATGTGCAGTTGCACATTTTGTACATTTAGTAGATTTTGTAATGTTGGTTGTGCTTTGGATCCCTTCCCCTTAGCGGATGAATCTGATGATTGTGAGTGGGTTCAAAGAGTATTTGAAGAGAACTCACTCAAAACTGGGTGAAGGGTGTGTCTTCTGAGGATGAGTGAATTATCTAGTATTATCATCATATCTTCACCAGTATAATGTTGATTTTGCATTTAAGACCTGAACATTTGGCTGGACCTTCTTTTTGAGCCTGTGCATGTGACGTTAATATGTAAAGCCGTATAACGTCTAAAAGACTCCCACAAAATCCAACTCCACATGTCTGCCTTTTAAATGACTACTTCAGCCTTTACAGGGTGATTTGTAGCAGCACACAGACATTATATTTTAGCATATTTTTTTTCTTCTGACTCATTAATGCTACAAAAAACTTACATAATGCAGCTTTAAATAGCTGGAACTCTTTCAGTGTAGAACAACATTCACTCCTTCTCTCTCTCTCCCTCTCTCTCTCTCTCTCTCTCTCTCTCTCTCTCTCTCGTCTAGATAATCCATCTGATGCTGATGTGTGGTTGCTGAACAGCTGTACAGTGAAGAATCCAGCAGAAGATCACTTCAGAAACTCCATCAAGTAAGAGTTGAGCCTGAGCCTAGTTGACCATAGCATACTCTAACACATGTCCACTGCTGTCCTGTTAACATAGCCCCAAATAACACTAGTCACATAACTGAAGCCATGGTAAGGAAAGTGACAGTGACAGCTTTGTTGAACAGGGCCAGGCAAGAAAAACATGGCAGGAACAGCTTACATTTTGTACGAGCTGGAGTCAAATCCCCAGCACTACAGCTGATGTTGTTTCCAGCAGGCAGACAAGCATCATTTGAAAATGTTGCGTCTCTTCCTCTGGGGAGCAGAGTGGTTTTGCTTGCACAGATAACCTGCTCACCATGTGGAAACCACCGTCTGACACTTCTTTTTCATGACGTAGACCACTCTCTACGTCATGATATCTTCCTCTCTATCTCATAGTTTTGATCTCACTTCTAAGTGACTCCCCTCTCCACTCAAAAGCCATTTATGATTTCATAGTTTTTGAAAGCAGTGATAATTACTAAAATAATTTTTTCGATGTTGATAAAGCTTGTTTGTGGTAGTTTAGGTACAGTTATTATGCTTTTCTCTTCCTCAGTCCAGTATAACTATAGAAAACGCTTGAATTTGAGCAGTTGCTACTTCAGTAGGTGACTGTCTGCTTTTTACTCACCAGACAGGAAGGGGAAAGAAGTGTAGCCATTAGGCTTGTTCAACTTAACACAACCCTGTGCTGCCTGACTTGGTGGGGTGCATGTTGATACATTTTTTTCGTTTGTATTTTTTTTTTTTTTGTTTGCGTCACCACCATGCTGTCATAATGTTGTGAGAGCAAAGTTGCTGCAGTTTTCAGAGCCAAGCACTACAGTCGCACAGCACCCGCCTGCACAAGCTGAGAGAAAGCTTGATGACAGAGCTTAATCCTTGTTGGATAAAAGTTCTGCCAACAACCATGTAGATATAAACTTTAATGAATACTTCAGATAGTATTAGAGTATGTAGTGTTTGTGGTCATTTATTATTATTATATTATTATTATTATTATTATTATTATTATGATTATGTTACGTTTGATATATTACATATCTAATGCTGTGGGACCTCTCGCTTACATGGGATGCTGCTAGTAAAACTGCCCGGCTGCTGTGTCTCCGACTTGTCCAGCAACTGCAACCGGTTACTTTTGCCGACCGCCAATACGATATGCACATCATCTCGAACAAGCCCATTCATTTTAACATCTCAAACCATCATGACAGGTGGCGTAGCTAGCTAGTTACTTCAGTGTTGAAGGTAAAGAAGATTACAGAAGTTAGAGTCATGAGTTTGAGAAAAAAATTCTCTGAACAAGTGGAGCATATATTTTATGTATACATTGGACACATATTGTTGTCTTATTTCATGATTTATGTTGATAACAAAGATGTTTGTATTCCGCCAGAATAGGACTTGTATTTTCTTGCTCTTTTTGTCACGTGACCTTGGCCACTGTCCCAGCTTCACCACAGCCCTGATCTTTGCACACCATCATTCTGTGTTTCTCAGTGCGCGCAGACAGTTTATGTTACCCTGACTCCTGCTCTGCTAACATCAACATCTGTCTCTGCTGCAGCTAGACATGCCAACACCAGCGTCTGCCTTTCGTCTGCTGTGGGTTCTTTATGGCCTGCTTCAGGCCACTGTTTGGAGTACAGAGTGCTTTGTGTGAACACAGAAGGTCAGAAGGCAGTGCTGGAGTGATGCTGACTGAGCGGAAATGGGTCACACTGAACTCCCACTCACTGAGTTTGCCTCAGTACACTGTTGCTCGCGGGTGACCATTTTCTTCATTAGTTAACCCAGTTATTGCTAGAGATAACAAAAGTATGTTGTAATTTAAATTAATTCTTGTTTGTAGCTCAGTAGAGAAATTCTTTCAAAAGTGCAAATTCGGAACATTTAATTGATACCACATTTGTGTTTTGAAGCTGCAGTGTGTAAGATTTGTTTGTTAAAATGAATAGATGAAGCATTACTGAGCCAGAAGGGTGAAAAAAACACAACTAAAATATGGTGTGTGTATAGTCAGCCCGTAAGACTTGAAATAAAAATTTATGCATTTTTAGGCAGTTTTTCAGACCATGTTGTACATCTTTTATGTATTAACATCACATGCACAGGCTATATAAAAAGGTCCAGCTTGATGTTTGAGTCTCATATGCAAAATCAACATTAGACTGATGAAGATATGATGACAATAGTTGAAAATTCAGTTACATCATCTGACGACACCTTGTTCACCAAGTTCTCTTTGAATACTTTTTCAACACGCAGACATTCAATTCCATTTGGGAGTCTGAAGCACAACAGACGTTACAAAATCTTCTTCTGCACATTGCAATGACAGATTTCCACCAGAGAGGTCTCAAAATCCCTGACTTGGGACCAAAATTTTAACTTGCATAGTGTAGCTGACATTGAAAAATTCACACCCCTCGATACGTGATATTAAATGTATTTCAGATATAAATGTAATCGATTACCTAGTTTTATAGTTAATTATATAATCGCATATAAGTAATTCAATGTAAATTGAATGCATATAAAAATTACAGCAGTAACTCAAGACTTTTAAGGGTTAATATTGGACATATTGCTAGAGCTTTTGAAGAGTTGTATGTTTTTAAGTGAGCTTGTTGTACACACATTTGCTCATACCTTTATCTGTGTTTAGCTTTCTGTTTGTGTAGTTGAGTCCACAGTGAGTTGTTGGTTAAATAATGATGCTGGTCTTTATGGTGTATCCTAACCTCTTTGATGCAAACAAAACAGCTTCAGCCAACTATTCAAAAACCCCACATATCGAAGTCATGATGAAAGAGAGTGAATTTATAGTAAACATTGGATTAAATGAAATCCAGGTGGGAGTAAAGATATAGTGTAAGCTCAGACAGAGTTCTAATCCCAGCGGAAATGCGCAGGAAATGAGTGTGTTTGTGCAGGGTAAATTGTAGTGGCGCAGAGATAAGGACACCACTGAGCTTCTCATTATGGGACTAATTGAAGTGAGAGGTGGAGGTGTGTGTGTGTGTAAGGGAGGGAGGCCTGCTGATGCCACTGGCTCCCTCTCTGCCGGCTCCAATCTGCAGTCATTAATCTCACTCAGCTGTGACTCTGAGTTAGTCGTGTGCTCCACAAGGGAGGCTGTGTATGTGTGTGTTTTTGAGTGGAGTTTATTTTTATGCCAGACGCTGTTTTCGGTTAGGCCTAGATGGTGAGAGCTGGAGTGTGGGAGACAAGTGGATTTATTTATTTAACACATGCATTGTCTTCTTTGGCCCTGAGTTTTTGTCTGTGTGTCTGTCCCTCCTTTTTAAACATAAACACTAGTTTTCAACATTTATTAAGTCATCTAAATGAGACACTTCCCATGTGTTCTTAAGTGCTGTCGAAACACCATCCACAGTGGTTGGATCTATCAGTTGAAAGGGACCACCATAGGACAGCTGCTGACCAGATATTGAGGTGGTGGACCTTTCTCAACAAGGTAGTGACAGTGTAATTGGCATGGTGGTTCTGGTATGAGAGTGTCACTGGGGGAAGCAGTTGAAGATTTTACACATATCTGTGTCACTGCTGGGTGGAGAATTGTCCACCACCCAAAAATAACCTGCCAAGGGTGGCTCTGTGGTCAAAGACTAGAGGATGGCGAACACATATTGCGCATCAACAGATAATCTACAGTCTCTAACTACAAGTTAAGGGTTTTTAAGACCAGTACCATTTCAGTGTCACTTAAAGCCCTTAAAGGATTATCCCGCTGCTTCACAACCTAGTGCCTGTCTGCCACATCTATTTTCTTTTGATTATCTTGGACAGTGCTTTAGATATGTTTCCCTGTACTGGATAAAAGAACAGAAAACTTGTTCACTTACAAAATAATTTAAGGCAACTGCCCACTGGCTTCTATTAAAGGTGTGTCTGACGAGCACCATACATTATACTGCAGCCAGTGCTACTGAAGTAGAGGGAAGACTCTACATGTGATATACGGCTTTCAGTTTCTCTGTCTCATATGCAAGTCGCACTTCCGACCCTCACTCACTGACTGAGTCTCAGACCTTCAGTGGCCTCACATACACAGGCTTAAGAGTAAGCCTGTGTATGTGAGCCTCCCGGCCTAAATTCATGCCAGGGGAATTCGATTAGGTTCATGCTCACCTCGTTCTGCTCTGGCCTCCTCTTTGCTGGGTACCATTTCCTATGGAAATACCATCATTTACATAAAAACTGCCAGATGAAAGCAAGGTAATGTTTTGCATTTTGATGTGTGCATGTTTTTTTCCCTCATTGGCACACAGCGCTGTGAGGTCGGCCTGGTATGAACTGCGGGTGACTGTGAGCGGTGGAGCATGCTGGAACTGGGAGCAGACTGCTCACACCACTGACAGCCTTATGCAATTTATACACCTGAAACAAGCTATAACCCACTTCGAGTAACAAGCAGACACACAGAACCCTAGTGCTCTTTATGTACCAGCGGAGATTTCATTCATTAATCTGGAAAAGAAATCTGAGAAAAAAAGTGTTTCTCATGATGATTATAATGTCCAGTTGCTGCATTTTGTTTGTAAGTGATACTAATTTGTTACTGTGAATGGCATCAAGAAGGCTCACATGGCTGTGCTCCATGGCCTCCTTGATGAGCCATGAGCTGCTACTGAAATTTTATTAGATATTCACATCGTCTGAGACGCTTTCTCATTCACTGAGCTGACTTTGGGATGGTTCCTGTTCCACTAATAGTCATTTCCTCTTGATTTGCCCCATTGTATTTGGCTTCTTTCAGCGAACGCAACTTGACTCAAAAACCCATGCTCTGTGGCTGTTGTAATGCTAATGAATATGTAAATTATATTGAAATAGATTAGAGAAAGAATAAGGCATTTTCAAGTTGAGGCAGTGCAGAAGGAATAAGGATTTCCTTAACAGAGAGGTATGCAGCTGAAATGGAAATACAGTTAAAGCGTTCTTGTGCAGTCTGCTGCATAGGCTTGAGG